CTAACCTAACCTAACCTAACCTAACCTAACCTAACCTAACCTAACCTCTCAGCGGGGTTGCCGATCCCCAACTGAGCGCGTCCCCGGGTGGCGGATAGGGGAACGCCCACCAGAAATGGTGGGTATCGGGGGAATTAAATACCCCGGCGCGGACCAAAACGGCTTCTTACAGGCAATGGACAGTAGCGCACACACACCCTGAAGATGTGCCGCCGAGTCCACCGAAAGAATACACGTCAACCGGAAAATGCCAAAGGCAGGGAACGGCAGCCCCTGAACACAACACCATCATCGCATCAGCTCACAATCCACAAGTGAGTGAAGGCGATGAAGAAGGGTCACCCAGACAGCCGTGGAGAATCGGAGCAGAATTAACTCTCGGGGGCGGGCGAGGGCAAAGTCTCAATAAGTCGCGGAAATTAGAGGGTACAGTCGATAAAACCGTCAAGACGCGCGGGCCGCGTATAGTACAGGGGCCCGGGTCGGCCTAACCAACATGACCTGGCCGCCCCATCATGCGTGAAAAATCCCGGGGTTGTTTTAGTGCCGGATGGTGACCGGATGGGACCCTGCAGCAACCAACCGGGGGGCTCGACCGAGGCCACTGACGACCTGCGACGAGACAGAGTTTTCGCCCCAAACCTGAGAGGGGAAGATGCAATGTGAACCCACAGAGGCCAGACGGGGGGCCAAAAAACCCACCTTCAACATGGAAAAGCAACCTAACACAAAAAACGCTGAAGCGTCATCAGCGACGGGACTTCCCACCCCATCACCCTCCCCCTCCCTCTCTAAGAAAGAGGCCGCCAGCTCAAAACCGCCCCAGCCGGTAGAAGCTCCCACTGATCCCTTCAAGCGGATTAGCCGCATCCCAAGATCACCTCCAAAAGCCTCCCCTCCCCGCGCAAGGAGCAGTTCGGCCCCGTTCATACAAGAACTGGCCGACACCTCCGACCACGCAGTAGACACACATCCAGACCCCTCCAGCCGAAAACGGAAGGAGAAGCCGTCACCCTCAACTCCTGAAAGAGAAGAACCGCCGAGAACCCAACGCGCACGAACGCTAAGGCAACCGGCAGAACCTGCCCCGCCGGACAGTAACGACCCGCTGTCTCCAGACGACTTCAATGGCCTCCTTAAGGCAGCGGAAGCTGTCGAATTCCATGTCAGCCGACACGGTAACACCCAAAAAGACATTAAGAGCAGCGTAGCCCACCTACTTACTAAAGTACGAAGCGTGTACGCTCGCGCCGAAGCCAGCGGCTTCAACCGACCCAACCTCCCCCCGGAGGCCAGGGACGTCGGTTGCCAGGCCGATGCCGAGAAGGAATTCACCTCCGCAGACATCCGGGAGAGGATTCGGACAGAACTCCCCGCTGAAGAGCTCATTACCCTCCTCGAGGAAGAATGGCCCGAAAACACATTTTCGGCGACCAAACTCTCAGGAAGAAGCATCATCACGGATAGAGGTATGACCCGAGTCCTCCTCCTCTCCAAGGGAGCGGTGAAGGACGAACGTCTACTAATCCAGATGTCCGCTCAGTTCGCCGCCCTGAAAAGCTCCGAAAAACCAATCCAGGAGGGAAAGATCATCCTCTGCCAAAACCGAGACACAATCTCGGTCGACGGCGAAGACGCCGGGCCCTCCACAGACAGAACACTCCTAGTCAAGCTCCTACCCGCACAGGACAAGACACCCACCCGGGTACTCCTCGAAACAGTAGAAGCCATCTGCGAGAAACTAAAGAAAGAAAATATCACCACAGCC